GCCCCGGGGGCCGAGCACATCAAGGAGCAGAAGCAGGAAAGACCCAGACATGAAGACGCCTCGAGAAGACCCGAACGTCGCCAAGCGCGATGAGCACCCTCCACGCAAAGACGTCCATTCCCCATCAAGGGGCAGTGGCTGGACGGCTGCAAACAGGGTTAAAGGTCAGAAGACAGCCACGCCGCCGAGCGCTGACCAAAGCCTCAGGGCGGTGGTGCTCGCCTCAGATGATCGCGCTCCCCATGGAACACGGCGGTGAGGGACGGCGCTGGACGGACAGTTGAGGGCCCGGGGCGCACGTGCAGAGCCGAGCCCCGGGGCGGGGCGGGGCGCGACGGTCGTTAACAGCAAGGCTGGCGCCAACGGTAACGCCCGAGGGCAACAACGGTGGAAGACACCCGGGGCAACCGCGGCCCGCGGTGCTCGGTGAGGCCCGACGGGCGGCGGGGAGCCCGACCCCCGGGGCCCGTGCCGGGCGGCACCGTCTCCGCAAGGCCGGGGAGGGTGACCGGCACCCCCCGCTCTTTTTGACCCGAGTGCCACAGGCTAGAAATGAGCTATTGGGAAGGAAACCGGGCCCGGCCTGGGGCGCGGCGGGTGAGAGCGCAGCACTAGAAGCTGAAGCCGCTCCAGCACGAGTGCGACCCCCGCCCCGGGCGTGACCCCAGGGCACTGCAGATCTCGCCCGTCTCCCCGCTGCTCCCCTCAGCGCTGCACTTCGTCAGTCGGCCTGTTCTGCTCCCCACTCTGTCTCTGGGGAGTCCTCTCACCCCATGCCTCTGGCCTGCACCCCAGCTCTGTGCGCATCAATAAGCAAATCTAAAAAAAAGGAAAACCTTTCCCGTGTGTAGACGAAGCACGCTGCTGAACAGCTCCTGGATCAGAGAAATCGGAAGCAGAAGTGGAAAGTCACTTCGCGCCGGGAGAACCTGGGACACGCGTGAAGCGGCTCCGCGACCCAGCAAAGCAGCCCGCAGGGAGCGCACGACAGCGCCACACCTGAAGTGCCCCGGAAAGAACACACGAAGGCCGGAGCGCGGAGAGAAAGGGCCCCCGGAGGCAGAGACTGGCGACAGGGGCACAGAAAGGGCGACACGGAGGCTCGAGCAAACTCAAACTCCTCCTGAGAAGGGGAAACCGGAAGCCTCCAGCGGCGAGGAGCGTGAACACCGACGCACGAGACCGCTGCGGACGACGCACGCAGCGCGCGACTCCTGAGCGCCACGGGCAGCCCCGGGACGGCGTCGCCCGGCCCGAGGACCACGCCAGGACACCGGGTCCCCGGGCAGCACCACAGTCCCGGCAAGCGCCAAACTCCAGTGCCGGCAGCGATGCGGGTGGGTGCCGGCAGGCCCCGGAGAGAGCTGGCGCCCGCCTTGGTCGGTCACTTCCAACGGCCAGAGGGCGCATCCCGGCGCCCGAGAGCCCGAGAGCCTGAGAGCCCGGCGCCGTCCGCAAGAGGCCGCGGGCTGCCCCGCCTCCCAGGCGGAAAGGCAAAGCCCGCGCTGGCCGAGGGAGGCCGGGGACGGGGCCTGGGGCCTGCCTTGGGGGCGGCCGCCCTGGCCCTGCTGGGCTGCTCCTGAGGGCACGAAATCGGCGCAAAAGCAAAGGCAGTGGAGGGCACTGGCCTGACTTAGAGAGACGCAGAGAAAGCACCTGACAAGAACCAGCCCCCGTTTCTGAAAAGCGCCCTGACGTGGCCGGGCCCTGCGCGAGGCCGGGGCGCATTGCCCTCCCCAGCGCGCCCAGCGCGCCCAGACCCAGGCGGCGAGGGATCGTCCGCCCGGCGCGGCCCCGGAGGCAGCCAGAACGCAGCGGGCTCAGCCCGGCGCCCAGGGCCCGCGCGTTCCAGTACGTAGGAAAGGAAACCGCTTCCTTCACGGGCGCCGAAAGGAACCAAATACAGGGCTGAGGGAGGAGGCGAAGGGCCGCCCCGGGGCGCCGAAGGCACGAGGGGCACGGGCGCAGGCAGGCTCCACGCCGTGACAGAGAACCGGCTCGGGAAGTGAGTTTCGCGCAGAAGTGACCTACAGGGCGAGTCGGTCCCCTCAAAGCACCACGATGGCCTCCGAAGAACCGGAAAACCTCGTAAAAGGTCTAGGCAGCCACGGAGGGCCCGAAGAGCCGAGGCAATTCTGGAAACAGACACGGCGGCTTCGCGTCCCCCGCTCTGTGCTGCCAACGGCCGAGCCGTCCACGGGGCGGGGGCAGCGTGCCGCGCCCAGGCAGCCGACGCTCAGCCCACACCCCGGAACAGCAGCACCTTGACCACGTCGCTGGGAGACCCGGAGACTCCACGAGAGGGGCTCACCTCACGCCAACCCAGGTAAGTTCCAATGGGCCTGGAGGCTTCCAAGTGAGACCTGCGCCTCAGAACGTGCCGGGCACGCTGAGAGACGTCCGTGACATATCGACACAGACGCTGCTGAAGACCTGACTCACAGCCAGGCGGTAAAAGCTAGATCGCTGTGATCCCCGCAAACTTAAGAGCGTTTACACAGCAAAGAGACAGGAGGACAGGAAAGGCCCCTCCGGAAGGGGGGCGCCCGCAGAGGCCGTGGGCGTGACCCCGAGCCGCCGCCCCGTGGGCAGACCCTCAGGCCGAGGCCCAGCAGGCCGCGGCTGCCTCTTGCAGCCACAGCTCAAGCCCAGGATGGTGCACCCTGCCCCGCTCCACCCCGTGAGACCCGAAAGACCCCAACAGCGAGTGCGGGAGGACGTGAAGGAAAGGGCGCCCCTGCTGGCGGCCCCCCACGGCGCCGGGCTGCCTCACCTGGAGACACCGAGTGGCTCAGACTCGTCCACGGGCGGGAGGGAGGCGCCCAGAGTGTCTACTCACCGGGGGACACGACTCAGCCAGAAGGAAAGACAATGCCGCCATCGCTGGCAAAATGGGCTGAATTCGAGGCAATTTCGTGTGGGGAAGCAAACGAGAAAGTGAAATACGTGACGCTGCTGAGCGGAAGACTCAGCACCGCGACCTACAGAAACGAGCAAGCTCTAGTCGACGACGCGGGGTTCCAGCGCGCAGGCGGAGCAAAGGCCCGGGGGGGCCTCACCCGCAGGACCCGGAACCCTGTCCGACCGCGCCGGTTCCGACTTGCGGGGCTACCACGCGGAGGCGCGCAGCCTCATCGAACTTCCCGCCTTCGGGTCCTGGATCTCGAGGGCTAGGTCAAGACTTTTTTACAACAGAGTGAAAATAAAATTTAACCTTGAGTTTCACATGCCAAAAAAAAATCACAAGTCAGTAACGTGATAGCTGGAAAATCCCAGGCAGCGTTTACAGGAAACCAGAAGTAGCGACGCAGACCCAGAACAGGGCTCGAACAACGAGTTACCGCGGGCTGAGAAGGGGGCACTGTGCACCCAACCCCAAAGAAATCCCGAACGGATCGATATTCCGTATCAGACATTAAAAGGCAGAAAGCGCATCAGCGCCGGAGAGCTGAGTCCGCTACAGACTGAAAGCTCACCAGGGCCCTGCCTTGACGTGACGGCACAGTGGAACGTCAAAGGCCACAGAGGCCCGAGCGCACAGCCAAGCCCACTGGCATGGAGGCGCAGAGGGCAAGGGTCAGCCCCCCACCCCCCGGGAGCGGCAGCGGGACCCCACAGTCCACGGAGGGCAGCAGCCCCAGCAGGGCCTCCAGGCAAAGCACTCCCCACGCGAGGCGGGCACTTACTTGGACACGAGGACGGCTGCTGCGTCTCGGGCCTTGTCGCTGACCACCAGGTAGCACTACAGGGAAGGGCGAGGAGAGGCCATTGGCCACGGCCAGGCCCCCCGCAACCCCATCTGAGCGGCTCCCCAAGAGCTCGCGATGGTCCCAGAAGCGCAGAAGCATCCACCCCGGCCAGGGAGGGACCCCAGGGCGGAGCAGGCCCTCCTGCCCAGGCTGTCCCTCAGCAGGGGGTGTCGGGGGGGACCGCTCTGCTCCCCACTCTGTCCCTGGGGAGTCCGACCAGCCACCCCCTGCACGTCTGGCCGCACCTAGCTTTTCTATGCGTAATTAAGTGGATGAGGCTAGAAACCAAACGCACACCCTTGCCTTCCCTCACCGCCCCAGAAAGCTCTCCTTGCCGGGACCGCCTCAGGGCACTTGAGCGACCGCAAAGCTGTGACCCCACCAGGGGCTGCTTGCTGGCACGACGCGTTTACCTCAGCTATCTGGAGAATACGGTCCATGATGGGCAGTCGCGTCTGTCCCGGCTGGGCAAGGAGGTTCCCGTCAAGGCGCGAGAAGTCGAAAGGGATCAGGCAGGTCACAGAGAGCCACAGCAAGAGCATATAGCGGGTCTCCCAGGTCTAAGGGATGAAAGACAGGGCTCTGAGGTAGGGCGGCGCTGACCAGCGCCTCACAGAGCGGCTGCCTCCGGGTAACTCGGCGCCCAGGGGGCCCTTCCCATACCGGCCCCGCAGAGCTGGGAGCAAGCCCTCCTCGGCCTCTCCCAGGTCTCGCCTGCGCCGCCTCACAGCCCCTCCTAGGACTTGGCTACCTCGCCAACAAAAGAACAGCAAAGTGGACCCTGGAGAGCAGCCGACTGGGCTGCTCCGTTAGCTCCGCCAGCGCGCAGCCAGCCTCGGGGAGGCAGGAAAGCGGATGACGGGCTGAACTGGAAAGCAGGACTTCAGACAAAGACGCTTCCAGTCAGGCACGCGGCCTCTGAGCGGCCACTACAAGACTCCTGCTGGCGCCTGCGTGGCCCCAGGGCAGGAGAGGCCGCGGAGGCAGGGCGGAGCCCACCTGATGGCGCACGGTGGCTCCGTGGCCAGCCTGAGAAGCTGAGACGGGCGCCCAGCAGGGCCTGCCTCCCTGAGAGCCAGGGTGGCCGAATCCGCAGCCAGACCAGGCCGGCCGCGAGGGGTATGCCCAGCTCGCCTCCTGCTGGAAGCAGGAGTTGAGGGACCTCGCGGCGGGCACCCCGCGAGCAGCGCCCAGCAGGAGCCGGGCACAGATGGCTCTTCACGCGGTCGCCACAACTCAGCTGGCTGCAGGGCCGCGACTCAGCCGACAGGAGGCTCTGGAAAGGCAAGTCCACGTGCCTGTTCTCTCTGCTGGGGATGGCCTTGGGACCCCAATGCAGTGACATTTCAAGTCAAAGAAAAACCAGAGCACGAGGGACTTATGCCCACACCATGGAGTGATGTTTTTTCTATAGGAAAGGCATGTTTTAGAAGAAGATAGCACGGCAGAGAAACAGCCCAAAGGACGACCAAGAGGGAATGACCCAGAGGCCTGAGATGACAGCTGGAGGGGAGGGGCACCCGCTGGCAGTCGCAGCGCGGGGTGAGGAGACTCACCTCATGGTCTTTGGGGCTCTGGTTGGCAAACATGTCTAAAACGGGCTGGACGTCGGCTACTTCATGAGGAAACAGGCGAAGAAATGTTTTATAGCCTCGAACCTACCAGATTAAAACAGACGCCAAGTCGCCTCATACACAGAAACTGAGGGAAAACGCTCATCCCGTCGCCGAGCCTGCGCCACCCGTGATCGAAGAGGCGCAGGACGCGGCGAGGCTAGCCCCGCTCTCCTCGCAGCCCGAGTCAGCCCATTGGCCGTGCTCCCCATGGTCCGTCCCCGCTGGGCTGCCATGTCACCTGTGGTCCGTGACAGACGTGTCACCAACGGCAAAGCCTCCCTTCCGCCCACACTCAAGATCCCAAGATCCTTTCAGAGGTCCCCAAAGCATTAAGGAACCCCTAAAATGCATTCCCTTGGGAGGGCCCCACCCTCCACCCTCCACATCAGAGGTAGGTGGCAGCTGGCCACCGCAGGCGCTGGCCACGGCCCCATGGAGGCGGCTCTGGCCACGGCGCAACAGCGAATGCCGGGGAGCAGGCCAGCACGAGGACACCATCCCCAGACCTTCCGCTCCGGCGCCTGCGGCAGCTTCCAAGGAGACACACCTGCGGCTGGCTGGGCAGCGCGCTCCGAGCCTACCCGCTCCGGGGAAACTGCTCGGAATCAGAGCCCCTGCCCGGCGGCTGCCGGCCCTCCCTTTCCGCCCAGTGCCGAACCCATTCATATATGGGGGCCAAACTTCTCGGGCTCTTTCCAGCGAAGCCCACCTGGATCACTAAGTCCGACCCCCAACGTATGATTAAAAAGCAAAACGGGAACCACACTTGCCTGAGAAGCCTCATTCCCTGAAATGACGGCTCAGGCCAAGTACATTAGAAAGACGCTACCTTGGTGATGATGTAGAGGAATTTAAAAGCCAGATGGACGAGGTCGGCCGGAGAGGTCTCATCCTGCACCAGACCCAACAGCAGGTTCATCATCCATTCTAGAGAGAACAAACGGAACATCTGCTGTACAGGGAAGCATCTGTTACACTGAAATAAAATTCCGGAAGAAAGCGGCCTTCAAAACGTAACCGGTTCAACGGCAGCAAACGTGCGTCGTCCGAACACCGACAGAGCAAACGTGCTGACGTTTTCACCCTGGCAGCTTCCAGAGTGTATCAGCTAACACGACGCTCACTCTCCATCCGCAAACGCAGGGAAGGGCCTCCCCGAGGGGGCAGGGGCGGGTCAGCCTGCCAGGGAGGGACCCCCAGGGCAGCAGGCCCCTTCGGTCCCCCCCCGCTGCCCCTCAGCAGTGTGTTTCACTCAATCTGCCTGTCCTGCTCCCCGCTCTATCTCTGGCGGACTCTCACGCACCCCACCCCACCCCGCACCTCTGGCCGATCCCCCAGCTCCGTGTGCATAAATAAATCTTTAAGGAAAAAAACGCCAGAGAACGGATGGCACAGTAGTAACAGCCTGTGTGCTGAGGTGGGGGGGGAGGACGGACGGCCCCCGGCGCAGCTGCGCTGGCGGCATCGGCGCATGGATGAAGCCCCAGGGAGGGAGCGGCAGAGGCAGGAAAAATATCTTCAGAAACAACCAAACTTTTCCCAAACTTAGAAGCAGACCAAGCCCTCGTCCAGGAGTCACCCAGCCCCACGCCGGCAGCGCTGAGCGCGCCGGACCAAAGCATCAGGGAGCTGCGTGGCTCGCCCGCTGCCGAGAAGCCAGAGGGCGGGCGCGGCGGGCAGGGCGCGGGCGGGAGGCCGCAGACAGAGTGGCCAAGGGCGCCGGCCCCGCGCCCGCACAGGGCAGAAGCCGGTGGCGCCCAGCGCTTGCCCACCAGCGTCGCGGCCGCGCAGAAGATTCTCGCAGCAGCAGCCCACTCAGAGACCACAGCAGCTGGCGCTGTCAGCAGCCGCTGCGTGCCGCAGCGAGGACCCCCACGCAGACCTCTGGCGCTGCCCCTCAGCAGGTCCACTCCGCCCGCCTGCTCGGCGCCCCCGGGGCGGGGAAGCCCCCCAGGGGCACGCAGGCTGCCCAGGCAGTCAGTCTCTGAAAGAAAGCAGCGAGGCAGGCCGGAGGACGCCGGGCGAGCGCCGAGGCGCATTTGGGGAGGAGAGTGCCCAGGCGCGCATGGTCAGGCGGGGCGCGGGCCCCACGGCACGC